AAAATGAATGAAACGAAACAATGGGTTAAAGAGTTCCGCCGATGCTGTAGAAGCAATGGATGGGGTGAAGAAGAGATGCTTAACGTGTTCCCAAACTATTTGAAAGACAGCGCAAAGAACTGGTACTACTCGTACGATGACGACCATTGGGACAGCTATGAAGCGCTGGAAAAGGCCTTTCTGGACGTATTCGGGCCCAAGGAGTCAGAGGCGGCTCAGCTATACAGCGCCCACCAAGAGGTCGACGAGAAAGCATCAGATTTTATACACAGAATGAAAAGGTTAGCCAATGAATGCGAACACACTATACCAAAGGAAGAGCTGTTGGCACTGGTAGTGAGCCGACTGACCAACACAACCCTCTGGACTGTAGCCAAATTCAGCGACTCATTGGAAGGCGTTTTGAAGGAAAGCCTTCTCCATGAAGAACACGCTCTGAGAGTCAAGAGTTACACAACTTCTCGGCAAACAGATGACAAAAAGGATAAGTCCAGCAATTCCTGCAAAAGTGACGGACTTTTTGAGGAGAGCGGCAACGGTGGCAGCGCTGGTAGCGATGGCCCCGACAAAGGCAGCCAAAAGTCAGAGAACCAAAAGCCCAAAGAGATTGTTCGGCGCTGGGATCTGAAGGACAACGTTTGTAGGAAATGCGGAGTCATCGGAGATCACTGGACAGAGGACTGCGAGAAACCAAAAGATCAACATAAAGTTCAGGAATCATTTGACAAAATTAATGCGAAACAGAGGTCGCGCAGAGACGACAACCGAGAAGAGGGCCAACAGAACGACAAAAGCGGTCAACAGAAGAGCAGCGGTTATAGAATTAAGCTCAACGGATCTGCTAATACTGTGTATCGTAGTCTTAAGGACGACTCTGATAGCGATTCGGAGCCGAAGACAGCAAAAAGTAAGCAATTATCTGCGATTAGAGTAACGGACCCCTCAGCCCACGCCTCTCAACACAATAACACCGATTTATACCATATGGGAAATGATATATGGGTCCGCAGTCAACCGCCGAGACGGACCCCTAGGAGTCCCGATTAATTATACCTCTGATTGTATTTATTTTAGGAATTTATTTCATTATAACAGAATTTTATTATACTTAGATTTTTAATTTAGAAACTAATATATTTTAGAACAGAAACAGAGAGTAATGAATATATATATTTTAGTAATACTATAACTACAGATCTGTAATAAGCCTTAATAATAGTTTTAGTTAGACATTAGATTTAGTTAGCAATGACAGCGATTAGGATCAGATCTATAGACTAGTTGATGGCTTAACACCTCTGACACAGCGTCACATGGTTTAGCCCTGGTCAATTTTAGTCACTTCATCATCGCTTGTGTCACAACAGTAGTCAGACGTCAGAGAGTGTATCGCTGTTGGACTGAACCACAGTATAGCGTACACGTTATGTCACACACACAGAGAGTGCCGTAAACTTTTGACACAATAGGCTGTCATTCAAGTGGTTTGCAGTCTTCAGCACCGTCACCGACAGGCGGAGCGGATCAGCTTCGAGGACCACCACTGGTTTCCACTCGTCAGATACCCATCGTTGCGAAGAGCCGTTGGAATAGAAAGTGTCGACCATAACCTGCCTCTGCATCTATAACCTGGAGCTTCCGATGTACATACCAGAAGTTCCAAACCTTCAGAGAGGACACCGGGCCTCAAACGCGCCCATGCGTACAATGCCGTCAACAAGTGGACAGACCGTTACTCAGGACGCTATGACCGAAGAGGCTTGGCGAGCCGGGAGTTCGCCGCTCCTCCGGGGGCTGCAGACGGACTGCGCCTCATATCCATACTATTACTAATCACTGCTTATCTATCAGTTATATTATAATACTATTAATCAGATCTGCTTTCCATAAACCCTATTCATGTATATTATATTCACTGCTCTGTACTTTTCCAATAACTATAATGTCATCCCATGTTTGGACAGTATATAAGACGGCGACAGAGACCCATAGAGTTAGAGTTGTTTGTGAGCTCTCATGCAGAGCGTTAGTCAGTCTCTCAGTCTCTCAGTCAGTAACGCCCACTCTATTCACACAATGTATAACTTAATTGTTGTTTCATTTTATTAAATATTATTTTATCGTAACTATTGTGAGTGTGGTTTATTGAGACACAGATCAAGTCGGATCTGGTGTCTAATTAGTAGTTCTTACAGCGGTCTCTGTGTTTGGCATAAGGCCTAAGACACCCTCAACACAGTGCCCGACTGCACTGATATCTAATTTGCAATCATATTATCTCTTATATTCAAGTTATGCCATTAAATGTAATTTTTCTAAAGTAGTTTTCAAATAGTCTCTCTCTCTCTCTCTCTCTCTCTCTCTCTCTCCTACTGTATATCACTGTATCCATAGCCTCGCGGGCATCACATACTAGTGATCACCGAAAATGCATTAAATATTTAGCAAAAAATATCAATAAATGACAACTCACTGGCAAACCTCCACTTTGATGGCCTGTTTAAGCCTCGGGTCCCGATCGGCCAAATTGATGACAAACTTCCATTGGGACCGATCGTTGAGCGCCGCTTTGGGCTCCACTAAAATCATACGCGACGGACAGACCGGGTCCACCACTTCGGCGCCGGCGCCCGGCGTTTGACGCTTGTATCGACTTTGATGTCGCTGTGATATCATCTCATTCTCGTACGGCTGTTGATAGCCATTGGATGACTGTTGATGTGATGGCGGGTAATAGTTGTTGTGGTAATCGTTGGGATACCTGTCCGATGGGGGCGACTGATGGGAGGCATAGGGTTTGTGTTTGCCATAAGTCGGTCGATACTGATCTTTGTGTGGATTATAACTGTTATCGTTATTATAGCCGTAGTTTTGCTGCGAATGGTCTGACGATCCGTACGGCGAGTACTGGTTATTATAGTTATTATTATAGTTTAGTTGTCTGTTATCGTAATTGTTTGGCTTATATGTGTTGTGATGGTTGTTGTCGTAGTGGACGGCCGTCTGATACACGACATATCCCTCGTGTTTGGGATTATTGTAAGGTTGGGGCGGCGGTGGAGGCGGCTGTTGGTCGTAAAAGTGCGGCTCTTCATCGTTAAGACTCTCGTCCACGAACTCAGACGATATGTTGAAACGTTTGGCTTTCGCCGCTCGGATCACATCAAAGACATCATCACTGGTTGAGAGAGAGAGAGAGAGAGAGAGAGAGAGAGAGAGAGAAAATTTTAGTAATTAATTAATACATATAAGAAAAAGTTTTTTCTGTTCAAAAAAACTGTTTTTAAAGCTTTTAAGACATTGAGAGATAAGACTAATACGAAAAACATAACATACGAGGGATAGAAGGGCTTAACATCGGCGCAGACCGTACGGCCCGTATCGGGACAGTGTTGAGGGGTCGGTAGGAATGACTTCTTGGTGGGCGGTTGCGGCGGTTTGGGCGCCGCGTAATCCGAATACCAGTACGAGCTCTGAGTATAAGAGCCGCGCCATTGAGGACTTGTCGCCGCCGACGGCACTGGACTCACGTCACGGATCACTACACATGAGTGGATGATAATCGCGCACAACAGCCCTCTCACTATGAAAGCCCACATAAATCACAGGGAATGGTGTGTTTCCGCACAGATTTGTCGCTCAAATACGAGATATATTTTGTGGTGAAGGATAGGAAGAGAGATATTATAGGGAAAGGAAAGGTAGAGAAGGGGTAAGAGATATGACACCACTTTTCCTTTAAGGAATCCGTAGAAAATCACATCAATATTATTGATAGCATTTGTTTTAAAAAATGAAATTACTTGTCGTTTATTAACGTTATATTCACTGTTAATATTCTGGAGTCAATGAAATCTCGCGTCGGCTGGAGATTGTATTGCAGTGTTTGGGATGTGTTTTAGTAGTGAAGTTGTAATACAGTTGTGTATGCGATGAGGCTTTTAAACGGGGGAATTGGAGAATGGGGTCAATGATTAGGTTAACTAAAATCATTTATTGTGGCGAATGCATCATCTTATATACCTGTCCTTCAGGGAGGATATCCAGTACCACAACTAACACACACTCACTAACACATTAAGTGTATACATCCCATAGTGTATACTTTATATACCTCTCTCTCAACATCACTCTCTGTGTGCGCTCCTCCTAATTAACCCAAACTCCTGCACGACTTCTCTCTTTGGCTCTCTCTCTCTCTCTCTCTCTCTCTCTCTCTCTTCAGTAATTATTCACTCACTATTAAACGTCAATTACATTCAATATAAACATCAGCTGATGAAGTGTCCCGATCATCATCACCCACACAGTCAAACCCACCCATTGAGATGTCCCCATAGGATGTGCCCGCTATACCTGACCACAACGCGGACCCACCGCTGGTTATCCTGTCATTAGATGTCATTTTATTAGAGTTTTATCTCAACAAATACTCCGCACACCTGTAATGCCAAATATTATTAGTGTTTGTCTGCCTAATCATATGAATGGCTTTAGGTGTCGGAGGTTTAGGTTATAAATAGATTGAGTAAATGAATGTCATAGAAGAGAGAGAGAGAGAGAGAGAGAGAGAGAGACATAACGCCAAGGATAAGGAGGAGTTGGTGTGAATACATGTCGTATTCGTCATTGATATGCCATTCATTTGTGTACAACAACTCTATTAACAAAACTTAAATACATTTTTTTCATTACAAGTTTTTGCTCAACATTTTCTCAAATAATTATTACATTTTTTCTGCAAACCCGCGACAGGAATATAATTACGGATCAAAATCCAAAAAACTTCGACAACTCTTTTGGAAAAACCAAAACTATTTGTTATCCATAAAAGATATAAAAGAAAAAATTAGAAGAATTTTCTAAATATAATTAATAGTTTGTTTTATTAGTGAAATTTATTATTTGTATATAGTTTTCGCAATTGCCTCTCTCTCTCTCTCTCTCTCTCTCTCTCTCTCCAGTAATTATTCACTTACTATTAAACGTCAATTACATTCAATATAAACATCAGCTGATGAAGTGTCCCGATCATCATCACCCACACAGTCAAACCCACCCATAGAGATGTCCCCATAGGCTGTGCCCCGATATGGACTGGTGTTGCGCCTGGGTGGCGACCAATAGGACAGTAATCTACAGTAAAATAATCTCAAAATAGAGTTGTTTATGAGGCGTGTGGACATTACGGTTTATAATAATCACAAACAGACGGATTCCATCGCTCGTCAATACATGAATACATGTTTTTCAATACGAGTTTTGTTGTGTATTCACAAGAATTATGAATACGACTGCATATAATGATAGCACACCTGATCTGACAGCCCTTGACCACTATATCCATCAACCAATCCCTAAACATTGATGCATTTTTTGTTTCAATATGATTACTCTTTGAGAGAGAGAGAGAGAGAGAGAGAGTAAAAGCGCCGGTATGTTTGTCTGTACACTAAATCACAGCAACTCTATTATCATTTAAACTAAACTAATTTATATAATCGCCAGAAATAATCATTTTCTCAATAATCTAATTATATAAAAGGCATTTGTATTTACTCTTTGATCTAAATTTCAATCTCGACGACTATTTTCTGTTTATATTCACATAACTATACAATGTGAGCGAAATGTACATATCGATTGATACCATGTATTGTATGCAAAGGTTTTTGTTATAAATAACTTTATTATTAGTAATTCTGTAATCATTGTAGCGATTGTTGAAATGAAATCACACTTTTTTGATGCAATATTTATATATAATAATAATATATAATAATCTGTTAACTAATTAATTATAAAGTGTTTCGAAGATTAACAATAAATTATAGTTCTTATAATAATAAACTCTATAACAAATTTTAAGTTTACTATAAATTAAATAACTATTTTTGGTTTGAATAATATATAGTGAAGCTCTCGCGACCGCTAATCAGTCGGGGGGTTGAAGAGGTGGTGGGTCTAGGAGTCTGGTTCTGGGGGCACACCGTATGACTAACTATTACTAACTTTCAATCGGTATGCGTGAGAGAGAGAGAGAGAGATTTAAAGAGCGAAACAATAATATGAAAAATGATTTCTATATTCATGTGACTACGGATTATCACTACTATTTCATAACATTTATCATATATTATATTTAAAAGTTTATGTTTTTAAACAGAATAATAACAAAGTGTTATAAAATATGAGAAGTGAGAGGAGAGAGAGGAGAGCACAGGGAAGGGTGGGTGACAGTGATCTCATTGCTGCGCTAATAATAATAATGATTGTCTCTTAACATATAATACGATAACATTTACTGTCAATAACTTATTTAGAGATGAGTCACAACACTGTCGACAACGACAACGACGACCATCAGAGAGGAGATCCCAAAACTTTGATTTCACTTTTCAATTCACAATATCATGTCATCGTGTCCTCTACTCTTCCACTCCACCACTCACTCCACTCTCTCTCTCTCTCTCTCTCTCTCTCTCTCTCTCCAAGTCTACTAAAAACAGTACTTCATATGAGAAGAGATTTAAATAAACTATAAAATCTAACGACACTTCCGCTAAAAACTTATGAAATATTTGATTATTCAGAAAAAAAGATTTCCAACTTTAAAATCGTCGTAAAATATATAAAATATCATAATATGATAGACGACAGCAAAACCCAATTTTGTACAACCGTTTGAACGCATGAACTAAATATAGAAATGCTATTTTTCATATCAACAATAATAAATAAGTGTCTATTTTTATGCCACACAAAGTCGATGGGAAAACAAAAATATTATCGCATTTATTATATAATATACTCAAAGAGAAAACATTATCCATAATATTATTCTATACTTTATAATGACTTTTCATATTTTGAATAATATATACACTTGTGATGAATAGAGGAGTAGATTAGAGCTCAAGGGATAATAAATATATTCATTTATTATTGAAAGAGACAATTATTTTGATATTTATAGCGATATATTCTTGAAGAATAGCGTGCATTCAGCCCTCCCGGGGCTGGTATTCAAACCCCCGACATATATTCCCGTATATATTCCGGTGCTTTGAAAATTCAATTTTAAAATGTCTAATCATTTTTATTTTGGTTAAAATTTTATCGTTTATTATTTATGTGAAAATCAAATTACGTTTAACGATATGTTTACGAAGAAAACACCATTTGATACAAAACACCCCCAAAACCCATATCACTCGCAGACCCCCTCGACATCCCCTTTGTTAGTCTAACCTATGTTTTATGATTTAATGATAAAACATATTTATATTTTACAAAAATCTAAACAAAAGCCAAACATAACATGTATTTAATAAGGCTTTGTAATAATTTTTGTGGCGATATATGAATAATACTGTGTATATGTAATATTGGGGCAAAAAGTAAACATTTTTATGATTGTTTAATAACTTCTCGTATCCACTGATGAAATGTTTTTCGTCTGACGAATAGCTATTATGTAATGAAAAGCATTTGCAAATGCAATACAATATATGCTGTGATATAATATTATACGAGTTTAACAGATAAGTAAGGACAAGAATCGGATGCGTTTTTGGATGCTTTTGCACTGAAAAACATATTTTTAGATACAAGTAATGTTTGATTCATTGAATGATTCAATGCTTTATTAAACACAACTTTAATGTTTTTAATGA